TAGTCGCAGACCATTATAATGGAACAAATAACATTAAGAAGTGGAAGGCTGTCTGGTGCTGGCTATGCTCAATATATAGTCATCTGACAGGGTGCTTTAATTTTGATTCCTACACTAACAAGGAATTGGATTTGGTCTAAACAGTCTTTCAAATTCTATGAATCTGTGTAACACATGATATAGTTATGTTTTCAAGGTAGATTTTTCCTTCATCTGTCAAACTTAGACAACTTTAAGAAGAATCTCTATGAAAAACTGGTGATCAAAAATACTCAAGACCATGGAAAAAGATCATTTATCTCAGTAGCTCATAACCATCTGACTTTAAGCCACTGAAATGCATAATATGAAACAGAACTATAAGATGCTTGTTTTTAAATAAGATATGCTTAAACCTTCTGGTGGGTCAGCTAAGCAGTGATGTCAGTTAAGCATCTCATCTTTTTAAGTGCCTTGGTGAGATTGGACTTTGTAAAATAGAGTTCATTTGTCTCTGCAACATGGCAAGGCTGTATTTATAAATGTTCAGTGCTCTCTCAAGTCCCCCAGTAATAGACTTTAGAGAAATATTATCATTATTAAAGCCTTGGGTGGCACCAAGGCTACACTGTACACGGAGATTTGAAGTTAAGAAATGGGGATATGGGTAACACAGATACAGAAGTGTGTGTGTGTGTGTGTGTGTGTGTGTGTGTGTAGATTCAGGCATTAACAGACTGTATTCCCCTTAAATATGCTGCTTTCATGGTGTCAAGAACACTAAAAGCATTGTATGTTTTGGCTCCAATTTGTTGTAAGCTTCCCAAAGAACACTGCAAAAAAAGGTAGCTTTTATTAAGATCAGTGAATTAAAGATGCCCGAGGGAGAAAATGGCAGCATGTGTTTTCTTAAAGGGAGCCAAGTACTAAGTGAGGCTTAATCTATATTAAAGGCCAAGGATTCCAGCAAAATAGATATGCAAAGTGCTCCTTACCACAAATGACCGTACCACTGCTTCTGCGGGAAAACTGCATCACTGCCTTAGCATAAAGGATAGCAACTGAAGGTGCTCTAGGACAGTGCCAAAATGGGAGCGTGCATGTGCACAGGAGCGCCAGAAATCGGAAGAGCAGTTCCCCGGCGTGCATGGAAGCACTGGGAAGCTGAGCTTCCGGTTTCTGGCGTGTGCATGCACGCCAGTCATTTGGTCTTCCTGTTTCTGGCACAGACCAGCTGGCCAGCATGCATGCACGTGCTCAGCTTCCTGGTGCGTGCATGTGCGCCAGGGAGCTGCTCTTCCAGTTTTCGGTGCTCTTGCGCACACAAAGATCCACTGGCCAGCGTGCATGTGCATGCCAGAACTTGGAAGAGCAACGGACGACGGCTGGCGTGTCCGGAGAGATGGCTCTGTGTGCCACTTTCAGCACCCATGCCATAGGTTCGCCATCACAACTCTAGGATCACATGCAGCCTCTAGAGCAATGGTGTCGAATCTTGACAATTTTAAGACTTGTGGATTTCAACTCCCAGAATTCCCCAGCCAGCATACAACTACCAGCAATTCCGATAGTTGAAATTTACAGGTCTTAAAGTTGGTAAGGCTGGGCACCACTGTTCTCAATACTTCATGACCATGATCAATGAATCAAATTTCCTTGTGTTTTGTCATACTCTTTCAAAATGCAAAACATGAATATGCTTGTGTGTCTCAAAACAAAGATTGCATTTAAAAAAAACAAAAAAACAAGCCACTCCCCAAATGTGTGCATTTGATTCTTTTCCGTGGATTCAACATTGCAAACAAAAATATTTCAGTAGGAAAATAATTTCATAACAAACATTTCTGCACGTTTGCGTAAGGACCTCTGGAAAGCCCAAAATGATTTCAAAATAGTGGGGCCTATGAGCATCCATGCAAAATGTTCCCAACTTTCTCCTCCTTCTCCAAACCTCTCTCCATTGTTTTATAAGGGCCCAGTCTTCTATAAAAATATGTTGGACAATGCAAGGGCTACATGGGGAAGAATACAAATGTATTTCACTGGATATTATTTAGGATCTCTGAACTGCCTTAGTATCCTTTTTAAAAAACTTGCTGCAAAACTCATTTTAGAAAATAATGGCATTTGGCAATCAAAGAAATAAATAGTCAAGAGCCACTGAAACTGTCAAATTATTGCAGATCTAATGCAGACTCAGTAAATAATAAATATCAATTCTATCAATGCTGATCCTGTAGGACTAGATTTTCCAATGATATAAGAGAATTATTGGATTTCATGGAAACTGGATTTCATACAGCTTATTCAAAGACCATGATAACAGGCTGCAAAAACCAATGTCAGACAATAAATTCTATTATTTTATTACGTGAAGGCAAAGCCAGAATACAAATCAAAATTGTCCTTGATTTCTTGATGCTCTAAAGCAGTTGTGTCCAATCCATGGCCCATGAGACTGTAATGGGCCCAACAAAATCATTTTTGTTGGGCCCATTTAATTTTTTTAAATTGAAAAATAAAGGAAGTTTGTTATTTATATATATTAACTATATTTTACTTGCAGCCCAAGATCATTCCTCTTCACTCTATGTGGTACAGGCCAGCCAAAAGATTGGACAACCATGTTGTAAAGTGTTCCCACTCAAGGCTTCCAATGAATTTGCAGTTATATGATATATGAATGAATGAATAAACATTCCACAAATTGGTTCAGTCTATGATACCCTGCAGTAGTTGCTTCCCCACTAACCAATCATCCCTGTTACAAAGATAAATCCAACTTCCTTCATGTGACCTCTTCAACCATGTTGGACTTCAACTCCATCACTCCATGCCACTTATTAATGAACATGGATGGAGTGAGTGCCAATTGGAGAAGTTTGTTAATAAAGTGGAAAAAATAGGGATGAGGTTTTTGAAGTTCATCAGTAGAATGTTTCTTTCCCTTGGGGTGCCTAGGCACCTGCTTGGAGAAAAACGGGTTTGCTACTTCTACTTTTATGATTCTCAATCCTTAAAAAAGGACATCAACATCACAAGGCACTACAGATTTTCCTTCACCTTGCTAGCCAGAGGGGAAAGATATGTAAATAAACATATTCAACATCTCATTTGGAATTTAAAAAAAATGAAACATCTGTTCAAAATATGTAGCCACTTGGCATTTGATAAACTGCAAAATAACTAATACCAAACACAGTTTCTTAGACCATATCACTTTGGTGAGACCAAGAGTGTCCAATCTTGGCAACAATAAGACCAGTAAACATGGCTGGCTGGGGAATTCACAGTTCTTAAAGTTGCCAAGGTTGGACACTTCGAGTTAGACCCTTAAATATGACAATGTGTCTTTATATACCTGCTTAAATGCTTGGGGAAGAGAAGAAAGTTACATTATAATGTAAGGGGTGGGGTGGGGTGGGTGGGATGGTGCCTTGCGAAACAGCGTGTCAAGAAATGGAATCCCCTAATAACTTAGCCATCAAAGCAAATGTTATAAAATATTAAGGAATAAAAACCTCACCTTGAGTAGAAAGTCTAGCAGCACCTGGTTTTTTCAGGTTTCTCTTTCTGACTTGCTCAACTGAAGAAGAAACAATATTTAGATATCATGAGAACTTTATTTGTGTGATTCAAATGTTTAAAATGGTGGTTAAGTAACAACCAATGATATCATTACATTAAAAAATGCGGAATTGAATGCAGATTGCTACATCCGTTATACTAATAGAATGAGTGTTTCCTAAAAAAGCATCAAGAATGAAAACAGAAGGTTCCAGGTAGACAGGAAATGAAGCCATTTTATTTACATTACCAGCTGTAGGCATAAAAACAAAATTTTAAACACTAATCAAGGTCTCAGAGATGTTATGTTTAATAGGCCTTTAATAATCCAGTCTGTATGTTTTGAAAAGTTATTTTCATTATTGCAACTTTTATTCAAATTATAGGTTTGTAGGCTTTTTTCAGTTTTCTCATATTACTTAAGGAAATGAGAAGGGAAATCACCCTTAGACCTTATAACACTTCTATATCACCCAAAAAAAGAAAAGCAGCAAATAGAATCTTAGTAAATCTTCACATAAATGGCAATAATATACAGTATCTTAATATATGAAAATACCCCCACATACAATTTATCTTATAAATAGTATATATTACTATACCACCCATTAGTAAGGATATTAGGATACACTAAAGAGTTTATAAACAAAATTATAATATTACAAGAACCGATAAAGGATAAGTATTAGAAGAAAATATGCAGCTAATAGCCATAATATTGATATTGTCTAAATCAAAACCCAGAAAGTCTTATATGTGAATAAATTAGTAAATTGGGAAATGCAGATAGGATGCCAGACTTGTTGTTTCATCTGTGAAGAATTAAACATTAGGTTACTTTTTAACTTCCTCAACAGAACACTTTAATTTAAGGGTATAGTCCTATTTGCATGAGAGTGAGTCTCACTAAATTTAATACTGTATTTAACTAGATAAACACAGGATTGAGTGTGTTGCTTTAAATAACTTATATATATCTCTACTTATCTTTGTAATTGTTTTGTTCCATGTAAAGTATCTTTAGAGCCTTCCAAAAATTATAAAAAATGAATCAATGAAGGGAAAGTAGTAGATAATACAATTATAGCTCCAAGCCCTCCTACAAAATGTAAACTTTAAATTCTGTCAAAAAACCCTGAAATGAGATAAAATCCTTCTTACTCAGTTTCCTGGATTTTCTCAGTTCAATTTTTAAATTACCAGACTTGTTTGAAGTGCCCAGAATATTTTCCAGCTCTCTGGTGCCCTCTAAAGCCTGAAAAACAGATTTTGTTTTTTGAAAAAGTTAATATCAGTGCTAAGGGTTTTAACCTTAAAAACAACATTCCTTAAATCTTCCTCTCTTTTCAATTCATAGAACATATCATGTTACTAGCATGTGATATTAGAAATATGCTCAATAGAATCAGCCCAATGAGGTGGAAAGTTAATTTCCTGGCTACATTTGGTAGGTTAGGGAACTGAGAAACCAGGATTTTCATTTTGGATATGATTTGAAGTTTTTGCCTGTTGGAGGTAACCTTTGGATTATTTTACTGTGTCTCTTAGCGTAAATCAGATAAAATGTATTGTTTACCATAACTCTGACATATCATGCACTAACATAGCCCAATAAAAATGCAGGGATGGTTGAACAGTGATTTTAATTCAGATGTCCCCCAGTCCAAATTGATATTCAGCCACTATATAAAGATTCAAACATTTTTAAGGCTAAGGGAAACATCAGACTTTTAAAAAGCATATCAGAAGTTGCACTGCAAAAAAGTAGGATTACTTACATATTTTAAAGAAGTTGTACTATTATTACTTATAATTAATTCAATTATTCCACTGTTACATTTTAAAAATTCACTGGCAGTGATCCCCATATTTTTCAATTATTACTAACTTTGAACAAAATTAAAAGTAGGAGCAAAGCCACCCCCAAATCCTCTTACACACCTGCACCTCTCAGACAGTGAAAGTAGTAGGTAAATGCAGAAAGGGGCAACTTGTTAGCAAAGAATTTGTAAGAACATAGAGAGCTGATTCAGACCCCCTAGAAAGATGTAATGGGAAGAAAGAGTCTCCTTGAGGAACAGGGGGGAGGATCCATAACCAAAACTATAGTCAGAAAAGAAATCTAAATCCAGAGCAAAACTGTAGCCTGAGCAAGCACCTCAGACAAAGCCTTCACAAAGACAAAGGAAGAGAGCAGGGAAACACACTCAGACTTGTAAAATTCTGTTAATATAAACATATAACAAATGTAGCCTTAGCGTGCATTATTTTGGTTCCCTAGTCATGTCTACCTTGAAGGTATGGCACAAGCACACATATTTAGTATTTCTATTGAACTCAACTCACAATGAGAAAAGGAACAATATAAGACTAAGTTGTAATGAATTTTTAAACAATCAAGATAATTGAACTAGTTTGATAAAGCAGAAAAGCATAACGATGGACCTTCAGATTGGTTAGTTTTTTTCGGATTTGCAGGAATCTTTCCAGAGAATGTTCAACTTCAGACTGCAATGCCGAGAGTCTATGTAAAAAGACAAATACAACATCAATGGCACAATACTTGAAACATGAATAAGCAAAATAGCAATAAGGACAAAACTAGATCTTCCATGTAAGGTTGTGTTTTTAGCAAACAATCTCTCCCTACCCCAATTAAGGTTAAAATAACAGCCATATAAAGTTACAACTACTTACATTATGGCATGCATCTGAAAAATATTTCTAGTTCATCATGTTTCTTCCTAGTTGCATTAAGATTGCAAACATGCTTCAGTGTACTAATTTAGTATCTACTTACCCAGATATCCCAGTGTTAGTACTGTACATAAGAATTCCAACCAAGCCACATTCCAAATTCATGGTTGTTCAAGATCAAGGAGAAAGTAAACAGTGGATATAACAGAGAAAAAAGAATGGAAACCTCAGCACTATTCTGAAGGCCGTTAGAAGGTCGATATTTGACAGAAGGACTACACTGTACAAATATATTAAATAAAAGCTCAAGTAGCAATTGCTTTGCTCCGAACAGCTGAAACAACCAAACTGATATTATAGGATAAAGATGAGGATTCCACAGATGTTGCTAAACTACAACTCTTAACCTCTCTCATCATCAACCATATTGGATGGCATTGCTGCCAAATCCAGTTCAACAACATTGGAAGGAATAACAGTTTCTTGCAGGATTAGACAACCTATTATACAGGCAATCCTGTATAATTGTTGAAATTATTCAAAAATCATTTGAGTAGCATTTATGCCTGGTCCCGAAGTTATGGCTGTTGCAGCACTGTTGTGGTCATATGATCAAAATTGAGGCATGGTCATTCACTCTAACAAGACTAATGGCCTCAGGGGCGCTTCCAGGGCCCCCAGCTCTGCCTGAGTGCTGCTTCGGCAGTGGTCGTAGTGACAGCTGCACTGGGGCTGAAGTAGAAGCCTTCCAAAGAATTGTGAGAAGGACATATGCAATTTGGAGAACAGTACATGCAATTTGTAAAAAAGGAAGAAGGCTGGGGTGACCAGTGGCCGCCTTGCATAGGGCCAGGCCAAAGATGCCTCAGCAGCAGCGGGAGGGAGAAGACAGCAAATGTCACCTAGGTGCAGTAGAGCTGATGAAAGAGCACAAGCTACACTTGATACTAGGTGGTGGGGGCAGCTGTGGCTTTGTGCTGTGGTGCTGGGTTGCTGGATGCAGCATGTTGGTTTGAGGCAGCACTCTACAATGGGGCTGGCAGTGCTGGGGCTAAAGTAGAGGCCCAAAGCAGTCACAGCCAGCAGAATATACTGAAGGTATTGGACTTTTACTTCAGTCCCAGATCTGCCACTGCTGCTGAAGGATGTCACAATGCAGGGCAGCCAAAAGAACAGGGGGGGGGGAGCTAGGCAGATGGGGGGGACTTCAAGAGGAGAAAGTCCATTATCTTATTGAAACTCAGGGCTGGGAGGCACCGTCAGTAATGGCTTGGATTGGAGTAGGTCCCCACCAGGGGAATTCAATTAACAATACCAATGGGAATTGCTGAGATTTCTGTCACTAAGTAATGTGAGGTACATTGTGCTTTAAAATAAATAAATAAAACCAATAAAACTTAAAATACAAAGAAAAAGTATGGCAAGCAGGATAAACTGAGGGTTTTAATCCTCCTTTCCAATCCCTTGGATGAATGTGTCATTCAAACCATTAAAACATGGAAATGCATAGGAAACACTAGTGCAAAGAAGTAATTGTATATATGACATCTAAAAGTGCTAATGCTTTGAACACTCCCAAATTGCAGTTGGAACTTTAATTACCCCAATAGAAAAACTTACTTGTCATTATTTTTCATTTGATGTTGCTCCTTTATATTGGATTGGATTGGCAAGACTTTGGAAGACACTCTGATTTCTAGAAAGACAATTAAAGAAGTAGGAACAAATTATTTATCTTCTCAATAAAGAATATTTCCCATTTTGCTGATGAACAGAAACTCCTCTCACTATTAAAGTAATATGTATGTATTTATGCATGTATCTGTATGTGTCCATCCATCCATCTATCTATCTAACAAATTTTTT